ATGTATAAATCAGTTGAAGTGACCATTGTGAAATCTGTCGTTAAATGTAAGTGAGTGATGATTCGGATTGGTGTGGTGGGGGGACGGAAAAAAGGTCAGGACGGGAAAAATCGGGGACGAAATTTTTCAGTCGGAGACCCCGAGAATGCGGTCGGCTCAAAAATTGTCGGGGACGAGGTCCTCGAAATTCATCAATCCCCGCACCACACTAATTCAGACTGGTGAATGAGAATTGTCTAAAGCTGTTTAAACCGTAACGGGTACAAGGAGCTGCTGATTGATAGGCACATAGTTAGCGTTCGTTTGCGGTAGAAACTAATCGTCATTCTTTGAAACGTTTGATTGGTTTCTCATCCTTATATGTGTTATGTGATTGGGATACATATGTATCTACCAACATTGTGTGATACCTGTATATTTCTTATGTATTGTTCATGTATTACTGTAAGTAATAAACTTTTATGTGTCTTCATTTTGCTCACCACAACATATGCATATTTGGCTTGTGGACATTCCGTTCAATGGACATTTAGCCTAATGAACATTTGGCCCGATAAACGTGGAGGTTATGGAACGGCTAGAGTTAGGTGGGAGACCTCTAAGGGCATTATTATTAGCCTCAAGCATTCACCGGTTGTTCGTTTCCTTCGACCATACTTTCGGGAGAGCAGGTTCCGCGCAAGGGTGCAGGATAATGCTCATACACTGAATTTTACCCTTTTGTTTACGCATTAAGATTTTGCTACACTCAATGAACTTATCAAGAATTAATAATGCTCATATTCGATAACATTCTTCGACCCATTTCAACAGATCACTTTGAAGTTGTTCAGTTGTAATCATTACTTCCCACTTTGTAATCATTACCAAGGTTTTGATTATTCTTTAACTAGCTGAGTAATGCTAAGAACAGTGGCAAATGTGATGTACAGGTTTATGATCAGGCTTTTGAATGGCCGATAATAGCATACCTGGTATCCTTCTTCTTCGTTGTTTAGAATTGTCTTTTTCAATCAAATCATGAACCTTACGCATCTTCTGAAGCTATCTCATACTGTGGAAATAATGGCCACTGCATCTGTATCAGTTCAATAATATTTCTTTACGTGGAAATCACTGTTTGTGATTTCGAATGTTATTTGTTGAAGGAGTTTACTGATGTAAGATGTCATTCATTCGATGCTGAAAATGAAATGACAGCATCGTTTGTCCTTGATAAATTCATTGATCAAAATGGAACTTTGATGAAGAAGAAAAGTAGCAATTCTTATTGTTAGTCTATAAATATTCTGTTATTAGATTATAAGGTAAACGGATCTGAGAGCTTTCGAAAGTAGGGTCGAGGGACTTGAACACCTTGTAAGGATTGGCACTAATACTCTTGAGTATCCTCAGAGGCTTCCCACCAACCGTACAACTCCATGGCTTCCATTTCCATTAGGCCGAATTAGGTAAAATGTACATAGGGTAAATGACTTAGTACCAACATAACATATATATGAGCGATACACATACAGTACGTTACATTTTCTTTTGTTTCCTTTAGAGTAGTGGTTCTCGTAGGAGGTGAAATCACCCATTTTGGATAATTTGAAGGTGTCGAGGGGTAAAGGAGGGGGTCGGGAAATTAATCTTTCTAGCGGTTGTTATGGTTAGATAGAATGCCATTGTGATGGTGTTTCTTAATTCGGGTATGTGAATGTGGTCAGTTAATGGCAACACTCCTCATTCTCCTATTTTCTACATATTATTAGCTCGTCTGAATCTAACAGGGCTAATTTTTTACTGTCTCAACAGGGTTTTCATTCTTTTCCTTGCTGTTAGAATCGCTCTCATAGCTTTTATCACCAAAAGTGTTCTCTTTTACTTATTTCTCATTCATTTCACTCAACAATTAAAGTCAAATTCTCATTCTATTAAATACACTCTATAATTGATCATTTGACTGTCGAACGTTGTTAGGCAATAATATTCGATTGCCGTATTGTTGATTTCGGCTGTCAACACTCGTCAACGTATCCAGTAAATAGTATATGCTACAGAATGAGAATTTGATTCGAGCTGTGAAGTGAAGTGATACGAAGTGAATGAGAAAAACTCATCAAGAGAACGATATTCGCATGTAATAGCTATGAGAGTGAATACAACACGTCTGAAAAGAATGAGAATTCATCTAAATCAGTTAGTTTGAAGTGAGCGTGTCCTAGACAATAGCTTTTCATACAATAATGGCGTTATGAGCAACACCACGGTCTACGACACTAATTTCTTTCACGCCGTTGAGAAATTTCCGGACCGATTTTCCGTTTGTTCCTGACGTTATACGTAGAAATAGTAAGTTATTGTATCCATGAAAAGTGATAATGGAGCCCCAAACGTGAGAAGCACTGCTTTAGATTTTTGTGTATTATGAACATTGAAAGTTCAGAACTTCAGTGAATTCAGCAAATAATGGATGGAAACCACTAAAATTCGAAATCTTTCATTGAAGATTTATAAGTGGTCTAATGATAGTTGATGAATTAGTTCATTCATTTAGTTTCATCCCTAAAGGTATCAGTCATAAAAGCATCATGGACTAATCATTATACTTTTATTAACATTTATAGGTGGTGAAATTGACGATTAGAGAAAAACAAATGTGGAAGGAAGAACGAAATGAATAAATTGTTAAACGATAATGATAATGGCACATATTTGGCGACTGAATGCTATATGGCTAATGTACATCAAATAAACGTGATCAAGCAATTCAAATTTGATTAGTAGAAATTCTGCAAAAGACATTCATCCATTTATCCACACAACTAAGGCAACTGAGAAGTTCCTGATGGGATGGCGTTGAATGCCGTAGATGTTGTTGTGGTCATCGAGAGAACATGCTTGAAATGTTCAACTTGATTGCGCAATATTGATAGCTCAGCTCTCAGAAGATTGTTCTCGTGCAATAATTGATCACATCTTCGCTGGGTGCATTCTTCTTTCTGACGTCGCATTTCTCGTGATTTTCTCGCAGATTCATTGTTTTTCAATCGCCTTTCACGATATGCCTGTTAATTGAATAAAATATTAATTACATATACCAAAAAAAATTATTGGAGTAAGATGCATGTGCAGGGGTATTTTCACTCATTGTTTGACCATCTCTTCCCCCCTCCACCACCACCAAAATTCAAGTGCTTTTGCAGAATCAGAGAACAGATTCGAAACCAGTTGGACGTGTTCCATAAGATCATATAAAAATGTTCCGTCCTGAAACATCGACAAATACTTGCACCATATTCACGTAAATTGAATCTGCAGCTTTTCGGTTCAGGAACTTATAACTGTTTCCTTGTAGCTTGCCGACTTGAGATTTGGCCAATAAATAT